CGACTAAATGTGGATAAAAAATATAATTTACCATATGATGTTAATTTTAATAAATATTAGTAAATATAATCAAACAAAATGTGTATCTATTATTGTATTTATACTGCTATGTATAATTTTTTCATACAATTTTTTAAATATATATTTACACGTCATATCCATATAAATGTCCTTCCGCATATGCTCTCGGCATATCAAATGAATTTCTACGAACTCTTCTGCCAATTGGTTCTAAATCATTATAACACTTTGTAAAAACTCTCTCTATAGCTGCTTCTGCAACTTCTTTTGATACTTTGTGCACAGCCATTACTGACAGTCGTGCTTTATGTTTTACACAATTCTGTATAAAAACATTATAAAATTAGAAATTAGAAATAACGCTCATACAAAAATAAATATATTCTAAAAGAAAGAGAAGGGAAAGATACATAATCACTCAAATCAATCTCCTAATATCTACCTGATGTGTTGCTTTTATATTAATAAAAGACGAATCGCCTTGTAATAGTGAACTCATAAAACTACAGTGTCCAAGATTTGCTGCTCTAATTTCTGTACAGGCTAGATGATCAATATTTTTAACATCTAATTTATTACGGCAGTAATCAAACATATGAATCATTTCATGTACAAGAACTCCTCGAACCATGTTTTCATTATATGCTGAATTTTGACAGATAACTACCTGTAAAGAAAATAATTTTGTGTATAGTATGCATAATTATGAATAATATACAGCAAATTAAAAGAATCTATAATATTTTTTATAGAAATATAATACAAAATATTTCATTAGTAAAACATTTAACAGCCCAAAGAAATTTAGTCAAGCAATTTGGAAAAGTATTTACCTGATTAAGTTCTGAATCATATCCACCAGTTACAGACGGATTACACACTTCACAAGAAATGTGTCGTCGAATATCTATTTCACTGAAATATTAATAATAATAATCTAATAAACAATGTCTAATAATAATCTAATAAACAATAATATAACGAAATTATAGATTTATACATATTATATATATATA